ACTGTTTGTCTTTGCAGAAAGGATTCACTCCCCTGCATGTTGCAGCCAAATACGGGAAGATTGAAGTTGCTAACTTACTGCTACAGAAGCGAGCGCCACCTGATGCAGCTGGAAAGGTAAAAGTATCTATTTGCACTAATGGTTATAGATTGATGATTACTACCTACTGTATTATGTACAAGATTTATGGTATGAGTTTATGTCATCACGGCCATCCTTCGGTTTTTGGTATGATAACATGACCACGGTAAGAAATGAAGCATTCATTTTTCTTTCTAAGCATCTGTTGTAAGGGAGGGATTTTGGATGAGAGATATGAGTATTGGACATATTTAATCAAAATTCTTTGTATAGTTGCTAAAAAGGGTTTCATCTGTTTCTCAACTCAGTTTGCGGCCAATTAAATTGAACACAAAGAAGAAATAGCATGCTTATGCTGGCTAATCTTCAGTCTGACTTAATATATGTGCATCAAAGACATACAGACAGATGTACACTCATTAATGAATGTTGGCTATCATATAGTTCACTCTTAAAGTAAACTCTCATTCCAGCTTTCGTGCATTTGCATGTGTATGAATGGAAGTGAATGAAACACAAAATCAAGTGTGACCGCACCATTAAAACCACAAGAAATCAAAAGCAGCTGTATGCATTTAAAACATTCATTTCATAGGGTCTTTACATATAATATCTGCTAATCCATACATGTTATTTTTTAAATGCACTATTCAACATGTTTTAACTAATAAGTCTTTTAAGAAGTTGTTTTACACATATTCTGTGTTATAAATATTGTAAAACCTCTGCTGAATGTCTTTCTAAATCCTGGCAGCTAGTGAACGCTTTAAAAAAGACATCTTCCAGATGAAAAGAGGCATTTGTATGCTATCAGGATACATACTATCAGTTCCAGTTCCAGATGTTTCATTCACTAATGTGTTCTGGCTAAATGTACTCTTCTCCAATGTCCAGATGTAAAAGCTGATTGATTTATGATGGCACCTGTTTCACACACCCCACCTCTGAGCTCTTGGCCAATAATAGCTATGTATATTTGTGTGTGTTTTTAGAGTGGACTAACACCACTGCATGTTGCCGCACACTACGATAACCAGAAAGTGGCCCTCCTTCTGTTGGACCAAGGAGCATCTCCGCACGCTGCAGCAAAGGTATCAGGAAACCCTTGCGAACCACAGTTTCTCAACTAGTACATGCAAATCTCATCCAAAGGCAACCACACACACACATACACACACAAATGAAGAGACATGGCTCCAAACCAAACGGCTGCACACTTGGTCACACAAAACCACCTCCACCCACATTCTTGATCATTTTCGTCATTTTACTTCTAGTCCACCCAATGCAACCACAGATGATGGTAAGCTTGCACACATTGTATTGCTTTGAAAAAAAGGAAGTTCTTGAAAACTGATGCACTTGGTGGTTGAAGTTGTTTTGACACTTAAAGGAACACGGTAGTTCACCCAAAACTGAAAATTTGCTCACCCTCACGCCATCCAAGATGTAGATGAGTTTGTTGCTTCATCAGAACATCTCTTAATGACGGCACCCATTCACTGCAGAGGATCCATTGGTGAGCAAGTGATGTAAAGCTAAAGTTATCCAAATCTGCTCTGATGAAGAAAAAAACTCATCTACTTTTTGGATGGTAATTTTTCATTTTTGGGTGAACTATTCCTTTAAAGGGATAGATCACCCAAAAATGAAAGTTCTGTAATTATTTACTTATCTACTTACCTTATTTATAAATCAATTCAAACCTGTTTGGCTTTATTTCTGCAGCAGAACACAAAATTGTGTTCTTTTTGGAAATTGAAAGTCATTGGTCGCTTAATGTTTTCACTGCATGGAAAAGAGCAGCATGACCTTTCTTCAAAATAATCCCTTTTGTGCTCCACAGAAAAAAGAAAGTCATGCAGGTTTGGAATGACATGAGGAATAAATGAATGAGTGAATTATGCCTAAAATAAATATCAGTCCTGTTTCCGGTCACCCAAGGTTCTGGGGTTTGTCATGATCTGCCAGTCAGTTCTGTAATCTTTGCAGGAAATGATTGCAAACTAAAAAAAATAAAAAATTATCAAGTTCCAGCTGGTTGCGTTGAAAACATCATCAATGAAAAAAACGTGGTCTGATTCATCTGTAATAAAAATGTACTGTAGGCTCTGTTCTAAAACCTAAAGAGCTGCCTCATTATCTACTGCCTACATAGGCAGCTAGGCCTTCTAAGGAAGCAGCCTAACCAATTTGGAACATCAACATAGGCAATAACTTGTGTTTCACAAAATATCACACTGTACAGGGGACAGTAGGGACTGATGTTAGCATGTGGCTAAGCTAATGATGCGACAATGTTAAGAGACCCAAGAAATACTGTGTAAATTGTCCTATTTTTTATCATTATTTATCCATATTGAATGAATCATATAGTATGTATCTCTCACTTAGTCCATCTTGGGTTTGTTTTTTCACTGAGCTTGTGCAGTACATTCTGGAAATGACTTTTCTGTGAATTAGACTGTGTGATTCATTTTTTTCTCAGAATTTGGCGAAAATAAGTTTTTTAGAGGTAGTCAAGAGTAGGCCTACGATGTCATATAATGTCGTCTACATAGGCCGCTCACTATGTTTTGGAACAAAGCATAGAGATCTGGAAGTTTACAGAATCAGTTCTCTCATAGTCTTAACACACAAGCCCATGTTTAATTGTATCCATCATGTTTTTTTCCTCTGTTTTTTTGTATGAACTTGAATAGAGAGTCCAAGTATTCACGCTTTTAAACCGTTTGCGTTGTTTTGTCCACCGTGAAAGGGCTCAATGTAAACCCTAAACAAATACAGTGACCCAGATACTGCCTTTGTTCCTCCACAAAGACCAGTTAGATCTGGCATGTGGAGAACACTAACTGACTTGCGGTTTGGACGGGACCGCTGTTCATTGACCTCACTGGCTGACACCTTAGCTGTTAAGAAACAAGATTGTTTTCTTGCACTCAGACTGCTTTTCTCCACCTTTCAACCATTGTTCCACTCAGTCTGTGAGGTTAGAAGCAAAGCACTGCTGTCAACATGTTTCTGTTTTGGAAATGTCATAAATCTAAGGTTTTAGTGTGCTTATAGTGGTTTGGCAGCGTGCAAGTTAGTGCTGTGTAGGGCTAGACAAAAAATATATACATTTTGATATGTTTCAGTCCTGTCCTTTGTCAATATTGAATGTATATCTTTATATATTTTTATTGTATGTATGTATGTATATATATATATATATATATATATATATATATATATATATTACAACTCTAGTTAAAAATAATCATAAAGATAATTTGTTATTTTTATAGTTTTACTTTATATAGTTATATATTTCTTTTTTTTTTTTATATATATATATGAAAAAAATATATATATTTATATATAGATCAAATATATATTATGACCCCTCCCAGAATGGCTATACGCCACTGCATATAGCTGCCAAGAAGAACCAGATGGAGATAGCGACCACACTGCTCGAGTACGGGGCTGATACCAATGCCGCGACACGCCAGGGCATCAGTCCTCTCCACCTGGCAGCCCAGGAGGGCAACGTTGACATGGTCACGCTCCTGATCGCCCGTGAAACTGCCATCAATCTGGGAAACAAGGTAAAAAAAAAAGAGCTCAATTATTTTAAGATGCTATTCCTCAATCCTACATTATTATAATATTTTTTAGTTTGTGACATTTTCCTTTTGGGTAGTGAAATATGTAACAGGAAATTATATCTGTGAAGCCCTTGTAACCTTAAAAACCTTTTATTTTGACTTGTGCATATACTTTAACATGCTATTGAAAGTAGTAGCATAATTATTAACATTATACTGAAAACAAAAACCAACATCAGATCAAAACTGGCCATATTTATTGCTTAATACACCTCAAGGTCACCAGTGTCAAATTATGGCTACAGTCAGCTTGGTCAGTAAGAGTGACGTACACTGATTAATGGATGCTTGATTTATGCATGATGTGTCACATCTGTTTGGTTATGTCACTAAATTGGTTAATGAATATCTGTATCAGAGTGGACTGACCCCTCTTCATCTGGCGGCTCAAGAGGATAAAGTCAATATATCAGAAGTGCTGGTTAATCATGGTGCCACAGTGGACCCAGAGACTAAGGTAATGGCCCCACACACACACACACACAGGTTTGTTTTTGTGAAAAGTGGGGACATCCCATAGGCGTAATGGTTTTTCTACTGTACAGACCGTATATTCTATTGCCCTACACCAACCCTACCCCTAAACCTACCCCTCACAGGAAACTTTGTGCTATTTCAGATTTTCAATACACTCCATTCTGTGTGATTTATAAGCGTTTTGAAAAGTGGGGACATGGGGTAATGTCCTGAAAAGTCACCTTCTCCTTGTAATACCTATGTCATACCTTTGTCATTATACAAATGTATGTCCTCATTTGTCACAAAAACACACACACACACACACACACACACTACAGTGTAAAATATATATTTTTTTAAATCACAAGTTTTTATTCAGCAAGGATTCATTGAATTGATCAAAAGTTACAGTAAATATATTTATAATGTTACAAAACATTTCTATTCCAACTAAATGCAGTTCTTTTGAATTCTAATTATCATGGTTTCCACAAAAAAATGTAAGCAGCACAATTGTTTTCAACATTGATAATAAGAAATGTTTCTTGAGCAGCAAGTTATTATTAGAATGATTTCTGAAGAGGCATGTAACATTGAAGACAAGTAATGATGCTGAAAATTCAGCTTTGCATCACAGGAATAAATTAAATGTTAAAATATATTCAAATAGTAAACAGTTACTTTAAATTGTGAAAATATTTAACAATACTACAGTTTTTAATGTGATTTTGATCAAATACATGCAGCCTTGGTGAGCATAAGAGACTTCTTTCAAAAATATTAAAATATCTTACCAACCCCAGATGTAGGTAAATTCAATTTCAGATGGATAGACAGACAGAGACAGACAGACAAACAAACAAACAGATAGGTAGAAGAACAGAGAGACAGGCAGACGGGTATGTCTGGCCAGGCCCCTCATTGGTCAATCATGTATAAACATAGAGCGGCCCCTGCTCAAGGTCATTCAGTGTGGCTCTTGGAGAGACTGTGAGAGAATGAGTCAGACAGCAGCGCACAGATCAATGCTCTACAGCACAATGACCCACAGAAAGCACTCCCTCTCTGACCACAGGCAGATGAATGAGAAAGAACAAGTGCATTAAAACTCACGTGTGGCATTTAGCGAGAAATTAATTCCAGTGGTGAATTGACACCTCCGCTAAGCTCCGCCCTCTTAGTTACTGTAGTACAGAAAAGAAAAGCTTTACAGAACATCCCATATGAATGATCTGGAGACTTCTGTGAAGTTTCATATGCAAAATGAAAATGAATGACTAAATCTCAAAAATCTCCAAATCTCTAAAAATGACTGTGGGTTATCAATTTTTATCAATATGTGAAAAGCCCATTAAGATGGTTAAGTGTGATTGTGTTATTAGAGATGTATGTATAGAGATGAATATACTATGGCTTTTTAATGTGTGCATAATTAATGTGCTTGACTTGAAAAAGAAGTCTAAGAGTAATGTGTGTCTCTGTGTTCTGGTTCAGATGGCATATACACCCCTGCATGTGGCCTGTCACTATGGCAATATAAAGATGGTGCACTTCCTCTTGAAGAACCAGGCTAAAGTCAATGCCAAAACTAAGGTAATGCTCACAGAAAGCAGTTTGCAGTATGCTTGAGACTACATCTCTTGTTACAGAATAGTCTTTTCTGATTACTGGTGGTCCAAAATAAAGATTTAAACTCAGTTTGTCTCATGTTCAGAATGGATACACACCTCTTCATCAGGCTGCTCAGCAGGGTCACACACACATCATTAACCTTCTGCTGCAGCACGGAGCCTCTCCTAATGAGCTGACAGTGGTGAGTGTGTCACAACAGTCTGAATTACTACACCTCTTCCAAACAAGATGCACAAGTCATGTTAAGGAGAAGTTTGCTGTTTCTTTTCTGAGCTTTCAGACCTTTTCTGTGAAAAAATCCCATAGGCTTACATCGAAAGAGCAGGCAGCCTGCAGTCATGGAAATCCTGGAATTTTCTGAGAATTTTTCCATTTCAATTTTGTTTTGCATTGGCATGCATTACTCACTTTTTTTACTGAAGGAAAAATAAAAATCTTAGTTCTACTTTATATAGTTATATATTTCTTTTTTTTTTTTATATATATATATGAAAAAAATATATATATTTATATATAGATCAAATATATATTATGACCCCTCCCAGAATGGCTATACGCCACTGCATATAGCTGCCAAGAAGAACCAGATGGAGATAGCGACCACACTGCTCGAGTACGGGGCTGATACCAATGCCGCGACACGCCAGGGCATCAGTCCTCTCCACCTGGCAGCCCAGGAGGGCAACGTTGACATGGTCACGCTCCTGATCGCCCGTGAAACTGCCATCAATCTGGGAAACAAGGTAAAAAAAAAAGAGCTCAATTATTTTAAGATGCTATTCCTCAATCCTACATTATTATAATATTTTTTAGTTTGTGACATTTTCCTTTTGGGTAGTGAAATATGTAACAGGAAATTATATCTGTGAAGCCCTTGTAACCTTAAAAACCTTTTATTTTGACTTGTGCATATACTTTAACATGCTATTGAAAGTAGTAGCATAATTATTAACATTATACTGAAAACAAAAACCAACATCAGATCAAAACTGGCCATATTTATTGCTTAATACACTTCAAGGTCACCAGTGTCAAATTATGGCTACAGTCAGCTTGGTCAGTAAAAGTGACGTACACTGATTAATGGATGCTTGATTTATGCATGATGTGTCACATCTGTTTGGTTATGTCACTAAATTGGTTAATGAATATCTGTATCAGAGTGGACTGACCCCTCTTCATCTGGCGGCTCAAGAGGATAAAGTCAATATATCAGAAGTGCTGGTTAATCATGGTGCCACAGTGGACCCAGAGACTAAGGTAATGGCCCCACACACACACACACACAGGTTTGTTTTTGTGAAAAGTGGGGACATCCCATAGGCGTAATGGTTTTTCTACTGTACAGACCGTATATTCTATTGCCCTACACCAACCCTACCCCTAAACCTACCCCTCACAGGAAACTTTGTGCTATTTCAGATTTTCAATACACTCCATTCTGTGTGATTTATATGCGTTTTGAAAAGTGGGGACATGGGGTAATGTCCTGAAAAGGCACCTTCTCCTTGTAATACCTGTCATACCCTTGTCATTATACAAATGTATGTCCTCATTTGTCACAAAAACACACACACACACACACACACACACTACAGTGTTAAATATATATTTTTTTAAATCACAAGTTTTTATTCAGCAAGGATTCATTGAATTGATCAAAAGTTACAGTAAATATATTTATAATGTTACAAAACATTTCTATTCCAACTAAATGCAGTTCTTTTGAATTCTAATTATCATGGTTTCCACAAAAAAATGTAAGCAGCACAATTGTTTTCAACATTGATAATAAGAAATGTTTCTTGAGCAGCAAGTTATTATTAGAATGATTTCTGAAGAGGCATGTAACATTGAAGACAAGTAATGATGCTGAAAATTCAGCTTTGCATCACAGGAATAAATTAAATGTTAAAATATATTCAAATAGTAAACAGTTACTTTAAATTGTGAAAATATTTAACAATACTACAGTTTTTAATGTGATTTTGATCAAATACATGCAGCCTTGGTGAGCATAAGAGACTTCTTTCAAAAATATTAAAATATCTTACCAACCCCAGATGTAGGTAAATTCAATTTCAGATGGATAGACAGACAGAGACAGACAGACAAACAAACAAACAGATAGGTAGAAGAACAGAGAGACAGGCAGACGGGTATGTCTGGCCAGGCCCCTCATTGGTCAATCATGTATAAACATAGAGCGGCCCCTGCTCAAGGTCATTCAGTGTGGCTCTTGGAGAGACTGTGAGAGAATGAGTCAGACAGCAGCGCACAGATCAATGCTCTACAGCACAATGACCCACAGAAAGCACTCCCTCTCTGACCACAGGCAGATGAATGAGAAAGAACAAGTGCATTAAAACTCACGTGTGGCATTTAGCGAGAAATTAATTCCAGTGGTGAATTGACACCTCCGCTAAGCTCCGCCCTCTTAGTTACTGTAGTACAGAAAAGAAAAGCTTTACAGAACATCCCATATGAATGATCTGGAGACTTCTGTGAAGTTTCATATGCAAAATGAAAATGAATGACTAAATCTCAAAAATCTCCAAATCTCTAAAAATGACTGTGGGTTATCAATTTTTATCAATATGTGAAAAGCCCATTAAGATGGTTAAGTGTGATTGTGTTATTAGAGATGTATGTATAGAGATGAATATACTATGGCTTTTTAATGTGTGCATAATTAATGTGCTTGACTTGAAAAAGAAGTCTAAGAGTAATGTGTGTCTCTGTGTTCTGGTTCAGATGGCATATACACCCCTGCATGTGGCCTGTCACTATGGCAATATAAAGATGGTGCACTTCCTCTTGAAGAACCAGGCTAAAGTCAATGCCAAAACCAAGGTAAATGAAATAATGCTCACAGAAAGCAGTTTGCAGTATGCTTGAGACTACATCTCTTGTTACAGAATAGTCTTTTCTGATTACTGGTGGTCCAAAATAAAGATTTAAACTCAGTTTGTCTCATGTTCAGAATGGATACACACCTCTTCATCAGGCTGCTCAGCAGGGTCACACACACATCATTAACCTTCTGCTGCAGCACGGAGCCTCTCCTAATGAGCTGACAGTGGTGAGTGTGTCACAACAGTCTGAATTACTACACCTCTTCCAAACAAGATGCACAAGTCATGTTAAGGAGAAGTTTGCTGTTTCTTTTCTGAGCTTTCAGACCTTTTCTGTGAAAAAATCCCATAGGCTTACATCGAAAGAGCAGGCAGCCTGCAGTCATGGAAATCCTGGAATTTTCTGAGAATTTTTCCATTTCAATTTTGTTTTGCATTGGCATGCATTACTCACTTTTTTTACTGAAGGAAAAATAAAAATCTAGTTCATTAATTTTGAACATGTCACTCTGGTTTGTCACCACTGCATTGCTTTAGTCTTTTTTTTCTTCCAGAATTATGTTTATGTATAATTGTATTACATTATATTATATATTATATAAAATGGTGTATGTACTAAATTGCATATAATAATTATTTAATATTCTAAAGCATCTATTACAGGCATCACAGTAAACAAATAACAGAATTATTGAATGATAAGCATTTGCCAAAATTGTATTGAGTTAACTAAAATGTTATACATTGTCTTTACATTATTTATTTATGCATTTATTTATTTATTTTCCTTTAATATTGTTCCTTTCCCTTAATCTACAGAATGGAAACACTGCCTTAGCTATTGCCAGGCGCCTGGGTTACATCTCTGTGGTCGACACGCTCAAAGTCGTGACAGAGGAGACACACACTACTGTGGTGAGGGACTTTGTGTCATAACACATTCTATTCTGCAAAATACCGTACACCAGGTGTTATTGTGCTTTAGTATAGTGGTTCTCAGACAGTGGATCGCAACACAAAAGTTGGTTGCAGGTCTGTTCTGAGTCACAGATAGCAGGGAAAAAACAATGCTGCATGCTAATAATATAATACATGCTTTATATTTGAAGCGAAGCAAAATGATGCCACATCAACAAATCACTTATTGCTGTTTTTCTTCTTCTTCTAGACTGTGATGGAGAAACACAAAATGAATGTTCCAGAAACAATGAATGAGGTTTTGGACATGTCAGATGATGAAGGTAAACAGGTTTTCATATTATTGTGGTCTATTATTTTCTCTTTATTTATGTACATTTAATTAAATTTTTGTTCATTTACATATTATTTGTAACAGTTTTCATTTAAATTACACAGTTCATAGAGCCAATGTGCCTGAAATGCTCAATGAGGACTATATTTCCGATGTTGATGAAGGTATCTCTTATTTTGTGTGGTTTGTTCTTATAGCACCTGCTTTTTGCTTTCTTTTTTTCACATTTTCCAACTAACCAGATCTTATTCAGTCTTTTTTCTGTTATAGACTCTTGTTGTACAACATGGCTATCTCTCGCTGGCTTTGTGCTAGTTGCTAGGCTACTCTTTATGAATATGAAATTCTTCAATATGCAAATATCTGTTGGCTTGCATATATTAAATCTGGGGTTTGCTATTCAATTAAGAACTGTATGCGTAATTACAATTTCACACATACCCTCTCTGTAAATCCAGCCTCTATGTGAAGGATAGTTTTCTTCAGAAGTCTTGGCTGTTAGATATTTGGACAGAAGTTTCTTTGGCTCAGTTTGTTTCTGTTTTGCAGTCAGAACCCACAGAGCTTCAGTGTAAGCTAGAAGGATTCAATAGACGTTTTCCAATCAGTGCCGTGAATGACAATTTTGTGTATTTGTTTATTTGATATTGTAACATGATGGTTATGAATGCATTTAATACTTGATAAAATATATATCAAGGATAAAATTGGTGCTAGGGCATTGCTATGCAGTTGCTTAAATCGAAAGAATCCACCCTCCAGTCTCTTATGATATTTTGGTCACATTACGTTGTTTATAGCCGTGCGTAACATGCTGTCTGAACCCTTTAACAGTTTTGACATGTGGTGAATATAGTTTATGCATATGTGTAACAAAAATACAGCCCTCATTAAACCAGTGTGTGTGTGTGTGCGTGTGTGTGTGTGTTGTAGAGACTCGAACATGGTGTTTAATTAATGTAAACTGATATTCCTGCATACTCCCGAGGCATAACTGACATAACTCACATGGCTTCTTATTTACATATTACAACCCTGTGCCCTAAATACACATGGTCACATGAATATAATCTCAACATTCTGACATTTATTTCCTGTATGAAAGTCTCTCTTTTACATTATCTTTTAGCTGGATGACGAAAAAAATTGATGAATCAATTTTGCTCACGTCACTAATTGGCAAGTGAATGCAAACGTCTGTTTGGCATAAAAACTTTTGCCATTGCTGACACTGCTCGCTTTTTCCACCTGATTCTCTGGCTCTCTCTCTGGCAGTGTGAAAGAGCTCAGCTCTGTTTATCCGGGCGTGAGGTACAGTATTAATAACTCAGATCACAGGCAAACCGCACCAGTACTTTACATTTAAAGTCCATGTTTACATTTAATTCTTTAGCACATGCTTTTATCTATCAACAGAAAATAAAAAATTAACTTATTTACTTTCTTAATACAAATTTTCTTGGTCTTATTAAGCATGCATTCTAAGTGCACGTTATTCCAAAATTGGCCATTTGTATTTTTAATGGGATATTGCAGCATTTATTATAAATCATTTTTTCCACGCACATTAAAAAAAAATAAAAAAAATAATTTACCCTCGTAATCTTTAATCAAGGCCTTTAAGCTTTAGCATTAGTTTAACTCTGATATGTCACAATTCATATTTTTCTAACATCCATAGAACTGCAACACAATTTTCCATCGAAGCCACGATTATTTAGATCACCTCAAAAGAAGAAAGACAACGATATCCATATACAGCACCTGTCGTACTATTTCTATTGCTTTTTTATGGGTTTATGTGTTCTTACTGTATTCTGGGTTCACCTAATTTTTTGAGTCTTTTTCTCCAGTTCAATAAAATAAAAAAAAATTGTGAATCAGACTACTCTGGTCGTGCTCGTTGGTTTTTGCATGCAACCTGTAAGGATATAAAATAACACTATAAAATAAGATAAAATAGTGACAGACCTTTTCTTCCATATTTTGACATACATCCAACTGTAACAGATAATAGAAAGTCAAAAATTGTAGGGCGAGGACTTGGTTCTATTTATCGGTTGTTGATTGGGTTTTGAGATGTGGGTGTGGCACTCAAAAGTGGAGGGAAGATGAAGGGTTTAAGTGGTCTAATTCTTGCATACGTCACCAGAGAGAAGTCAGTCATTTTCACTGAAATGCCCCATTATGACTTCTTTGATTAAACTGATTCTGAGGTAAAAAATAAATAAATACAATTAACATATGCACAAATGAATTTGATCTATAATCTATAATATGCATTTAGAAAATAGCGATTTTTCATTTCATGCCAACTTTAAAATAGCAGGGATTATGAACAGGATTGTGAGTTCCTGGAGTTTGTACTCTGGCAGCTCAAGCACGCTGTTCCCGGGGGAGCCGTGGTCAGGTGGCAGGCGGTCTTTTTCCGTTGGTCTCCCTCCTTTTTTACTGTTTGTTCTGTTGCCTGTAGAAGGGCTCTTTTGTTGTCCCTCTGTTGTACAGGGTCTGATTACACAGAGCACCTCAGCACCAGCACAAATTACCATAGAAATACGCCTTCCACTTCTATTGTATCCCACCCCAGCTGGGGGCTCCTGGGGCATGAGGAATGCCGAGATCCTCTGAAACTGCCTCAAGTGTTACCTCGCTCCTGCAATGACCTCACACAGATCAGACTCGCGCCGGCCCCTCACCGTTTGAATGTCCTGTCAGGCCCCGACAGAGGGGTGGGTGTGTGTGTGTGACTGTGTGAACGCGGACAGACAGAGGCAACTGGATCGTTTCAAACACTGTGGACAGGGCCGTAGTGAACATGTGGAAGTAATCGTGCTGTTTGGAGTTTACCGGATTGAGGAAGTGTGGCTTCTGGGAGTGAAAAAGGACAAAGAGGACCTGTAAATATTTTTAAAGCTGGCGTGAAGATGAAGGATGGAGTTGACTGTTCAGTGTAAGAGATCTTGTTCATCGTGAATGGGTATTTCTGATTTGATCACGCTGTCCAAAAACACACAACACGATAGTTTTAGAAAGTGGTAGGGAAGCCGAAGTGTGAGAAAGATGATGTCTGTGTCTGTGTCTGTGTGTTTGAGTTTACTTACAAAACTGCCACCAGAAGTAAATGGTTTTTTTAAAGGGTTAGTTTTAACGCTGTAAAATTTCTAATTAGCTTGGTAAAAGCGTGCTGTGTTCACTCATCACTTGTTAGAAATGTTTTGCTGACCTCCTGTTAACTTGTGGTAGTGTTCGGGGTGCTAATGAAGTGCTTTATTGTGTAAGAGGCAGAACAGATTTGGGTTTCTTTTTAGGACATTTCGCAATTTAATTGTGTAAATATCATTGTGTGTGTTTGAATGAAAGAGAAAGTTGCAGTTCCATGGGACTGATTTTGGGGGGAGGTGGTTGCCAGGGTGATTAGCAGTGGGGTGGAGGGGTGGGGGTGTCGATGTTGGAATGCTGTGCTCCCCAATCGCTCTCCTAACCTGCATTCACAGCAAAGTTGAATGTGGCCCAATTATGATTTTTATGTAAACAGTATGTGACGGAGCTGTTTTGTGAATGACAATGTGAACAGGAAATAAATCTGATTCAAAACTGATCATACATTCTGGCTAGGGTTTGTTCTAAACTTTTAACTTGAAATATTTAATTTATTAATTGAATTCAGCCCAAACAGACATTCAACATTCAAAAGAACAAACAGACATTCAAACTTTTTCGTTTTTTTAGTTATGTACCATACAAAAAATGGTAACAAAAACATCTAAATGAACTGGTTTTATTAAAGTCAAACATATTGAAGATAGTATTAATATTATTTAACTGAACAAACCTATATACTGTGTATACTGTTTTTCTCTCTTTTCTTGAACTATATACTTATTTTTTATTTTTTATTATAATTAAATGTTTTGCCATTTTTCCTGTATTCAGTGTACATTGTAAAAAAATGATTTTACACTGTAAAAAACAAGATTACTGGTTTTGCAAGAGAATACTATTTTAAAATAGTAGTTTTATTGTAAGTATTATTTTGAAACATAAATATTTTTCTTTAATGTATATTACATATAAATATATTTTAATCACACGTAAAATATAAGATACAGTGGGGCAAAAAAGTATTTAGTCAGCCACCAATTGTGCAAGTTCTCCCACTTAAAAAGATGAGAGGCCTGTAATTTTCATCATAGGTATACCTCAACTATGAGAGACAAAATGAGAAAAAAAAATCCAGAAAATCACATTGTAGGATTTTTAAAGAATTAATT